CAACGTAGCCAGGGTACGTTTTATTATGAGACTGGGTAATTTGGTAATCTTGTCAACAAAAGCAAACTAAATACTTGCACTTTTACCCAACTACGGAGATGGTCTATCTCAGGCATGACTCAAACTCATATTGGAAACGCAAACCAGTGGGGCAAGGGTTTACTCATGGGGCTCTAGGGACCTCTATGTGTCAGAAATACTTACAGTGTAAATAACCGTGCTCTGGGAGAAGTTAAAATTGTTGTCAATCTTTTTATCGACTTTCATGTTCATGAACAGCCACTCGTACTGGGTCCGCATCAACTTTTTAGTAGACTCTGTGATCTTTGAACTGTTTTGATGTTGTTCAAGCAGTATTTCCTCATCTGAGGTGGGAGATAGAAATACAATTGAGTGGTTTCTTTGCAGGTTAAGAAAGAAGGAATGTATGGTATGTGCATTCAGGTGACAAACTGTAGAAGTCATCACATGCTCACTCCTAACTCATCAAATACTGCCGCTTAGTGGCCTGATTTCAAAATATGTCAATGTAGGTATCACTCGTGTCAGTTTTGGACACACAGTGCGGTCAAGTTAGCAAGATATGAATATGCAATGACTGGTTAGACTAAAAATAAAGCTTGCGTTGTAGGGGTGTAAAGATTTACCGATACCAGTCGGAAATTGTTTTTTTAAACCGGTCAACTGTACATTTCTGAAGTAACAAATCAGTTGACAAGCTGACAGCATCTCTGCTCTTGTGAAGGTCAACACAAAGGTCTTGGGACAGGAGCAATGAGAGTAACAGCAGCGTGGTTTGTCGGTACATAAACAAACATGTCTGAAAAAGGCGACATGATTTACAGTGCACAATCAAATCTAAAATCTAAACTTTGTAAGACATTTGGATTCTATGAGAAGGCAGGAAAGTTGGAAAAAAGTTTCACCATTTGTTAGATCTGTAGCACAACAAATCTTAGAAAGGAGAGATGCACTCTGTAATGCGTGGTCAGTGTTTTGAAACAGATGCATTTTGGTTATGTTTAGACACAAAAACTACTTTGGTTATGTTTAGTAAAGAAACGTATTTTCTGTTACACACCTAACATAACTTATGTACGTTACTTAAGTACACTTAAGTACTTTACTTAACAGATATGGTTGGTTTTTAGCCACCCATCCATCCATTACCTCCATATGCAGACTTTTATGTTCTTTGTCACTTGACTTAAACTGTGGTATTGTCCAGAAATGACACTAAAGGGATACCTACAGCGTCATATTTTGATGCGGAGGGCCACTGACCAAGCTGCAATATTCACGACTTGGAAGTTAGACTGGTTGTAAAAGTCATAAAAGCACATACATGCATTCAAACTGAAAACAGATTTGAGAACACAGAAAGAACTGATTAAACTTTTAAACACAACAGCACTCACCAGAGTGTACGACAGACTTGAAGGAGAGGTTGCAGCTCTGGATGTCGAAGGGGAATTTGTAAACGTGCATCCTGCAGGTGCTGATGATCACCTGGTCATTCGTCATTTCAATAGTACCATTGTTTGTAACAACGAGATAAGGACTCGGTGGAGCTTTATCTTTCTCTGTCCTGTATAAGAACACACATAATAACATAATTTTGTCTATAATTTTGGCATCTAAATTCTTCTGTATCATTTCTTAACAGTAACACAATGCTCTGTTATCAGTCACTGATATGAGTTTATGTGGTTTTGAGAGTGTGAGAACATGCATATAATTCAAACTTACATCTCTTCAATAGTTATATCTGGTTTCCAAAACAAGTCAGCAGGAAGAGAAACCTTTTCAATGCCACAGAATTCCTGTGGCTCCCAGGAAATGAATTCATTATTCCACCACTACAGAGGAAAACAAGGAGAAAAATGCATTTAAACAACAGAAATTTAAGTTTCTCAACAGAGTCATAAAGTGCTTACTACCTCAGAAAAAACTCACCATATCAAGCCAAATGTAAGGAACCAGTTGCTGGTCCTTCTCGTTCTATGAACAAAGAAATATGTGTGAAACCTTTCCAAATTCAGTGTTAAGAAGTTTGCAAAACATCAGAGTTTGTAAGACAGGTATTATAACATGCGTCAAATCTAAACTAGAAAGTAAAAGCAAAAATAAAATGTATTTATATGTGTTATTCTTTATTATGCATTTAGATCTGACACCAATCAGCGTAACTAAGACAATCAGGCTAAATGGCTGACAGCAGCCAGGATTTTTTAAGGAATATTATCTGCCCGGGAATATTAAGGTTGACTACAAATATGAACTGTGCACAATTTCAAATAAATCATGAGTTTGAAATTCAGTATAGAGGGAAATTAAATATTGTTTTCAGCGCTACGGTTTATAGAATAAGACAAAATATAATAAAAAACATAAAATATGTAAAAAGATAATAAAGTACAAGTAGTGTTAAGTTGAGTAAAGTGCAATGAATGAACAGAGCCATCACACAGGTGTGCCTAATAATAAAATAAAATAAAACAGAATAAGATCTGATGACAGAGAGGAGAGGATAACACATGACATTTACCTAAAAATGTATTTAACAAAATATAAGTTAAACAATGACAATATAAAGCATCGTAAGAAACCACTTACCACATCTAGAATGGCATAGAGAAGTACATCCAAGGTTACCATCGTGGGCGTCTTATAGTGTTTAACAGGCCGGATCATTGAGAACAGTTCTTTGTTTTTGGTCAAGTTCAGGTGGTTTAAAAGATCCTGATAACTGCAGTTACGCTCAGAGGACTCCCCATCTACTGCAAAGACATCAAGACACATTAACGTTCTCTCAGTTACTTGTATCTCATTAAATGTACATTAATGAACATTTACCGAGCTCCAAACAAACTCACACAATGTCATCTAACCAGTGAAAACCTCCACATCAGTCTACAACCTCAGAAGACAGAAGACCTGAGTGGATGAAGTTTATGTTTTACTATGGACTGCTACAGAGTAACGAGGGCTGGTACTAAAGGTTCAAGTATAACGATGGATCGATAACGTTACCGACTGTCTGTGACCAGATTTTGTAATATATTGCAATAACTTGATTAAATCATTTCTTAATTTTTCCTCTAATGCCACGATCAGGTCAAAATTTTACATTCAGATTACTTTATTGTTCATTAAATCTGCAAAAATGGAAATTTATCTTTGGCACTGGCACATGGGTCAACACATTACAACACACAATAATTCTACATTACAGTAGAAAACTTAATTTAAGGTCATTTGTCCAGTACTAATAATGTTCCCAACTGCCTTTATATGGTACTTTATATGTTTAGTACTACTTAGCAAATGTTAGTATGCTATCAGGCTAAACTAAGATGAACATGGTAATTAATAAACCTAATTAGCACCAGTATGTTAGCATTGTCACTGTGTGAGTGTGATTGCATTAGCAGTCTTTTTTTTTCCAACATTAATAATATATAATCAATCAAGCTCACAAATATCTGCAGTAACTGTGGTCACACCATCTTGAGATGGACGTTAACAGACATGTGACTCACTCTACGTGACCACTAAATGATTTTAAAATGTGGGCATGTTTACAGTACACTGAGTCTACATTTGAGATCCATCTAACACTAAATGCATGTTGATAAAATCCCGGCAAGCAGCACTTAGATTGGAAAATCGGATTTAGTTGCAGCAATTTAAAAAGCTGTCTCAGAATAATATATCAGAGGTTTTCAAAGTGGGGAGTGGGTCTCAAAGGAAATGAAAGTGAAAAAATTGTTATGGTTTGGCTTAGTT